GTTACCTAACTTTAGGTTTAAAAATCCAGCCCTTGCTGTTTGCAGCTTTAAAGAAAGCCATCCTAGAGGTGAATTGCAGAAATAAAGTCACACTACTCTCTGGTGAAATAAGAAAGCTTATTTTCTTGTTCATGGAGAAATTAATCACTAATGGAGGTTTTCAGTGACTCTTTTTTTCCAAACAGATTTTTAAACAGAAACCTTTTCTTGAACAGAGGCTGCGTGTTGAAGGCAGAGGGTGTCTTCGAAATGACCATCACCAACCCCTCTAGTGGCACTGTACCTTACCCAAATGAGCATGGCCATGACAGTCACTGCCAGTGGCTAGAATTAGTGTTAGGAAAGCAACTGGTGCATTCTGGAACCTCTAAATCACAGAAAATAAATTAAAGGGAGAAGAGCCGACATGGTGTGCCTCACTGGTCCAGACCATTCTCTTCAGTTACTGACAAGGATCCTGAACCTTGGGGTCTCCCATGGGATAATTTATCTGTTGAAGTGGCTGGTTAGGTTAGCATGTTATGTGTGGATATTCAGACATTTTGTTGACATACTTGCAATCTCACAGCATTATAATTATTTTTTTTTTTTTAAACAGACAGACACATTGCAAGCAAAATAGTCTCCTTTCAGGTTAAAGTGCCTTATCTCTTGCTAGGTGCTTTCTGTAAAAGAGCTTCCAAAGTAAACATTAGGGCTTAAAATTTCTGTGCTCAAGTACAAGTCTGTTTCTCATGCTCCATAAATGTATTTTTTTTTAAACTGGAGAATGGATACATATTAACAGCTCAAGAACTTAAAAATATATTTTGTGATGTATAAGCCTAGCAAAATATTTTAAATCAGTGATACTGGAAGAAGGTTATGCAGAAATCCAATTAAACTTATGAAATCCCTATCCTGTTGAAGTATAATTTAAAGGAAAGCAGTTCTGTTTCCCAGAAGTGCTGTGTATAATATTTCTGGCTTGGGAAGAAAGGGTTGGAGTGTGCTATTTGGCTGGAAATCGGTACCAGCTTCCTCCATGGTGTTTTAGTTGAACAGTGTTGACATTCTAACAAATCCCATGGAAGCTCCCCTGAAGTGGAGGAGTTAGCTGTTTTCTTGCTTTTACAGTGAAATATCTGTTTGATACTGCGATCATGTTCCAGTAACCGAGCCGTACTGCCTTCGTATTTGATGACCAGTGGCATTCTTGGTTTAACACCCTATAGAAGCCCTAAATTGCTGGAGGAAAACCAAATATTTCTGAAACTTTACTGCTACTGTATTTCACACAATCATTAAAGTAAACAAATCTTACATTACTCTGTAGCCAATGAAAACAGTGGATAAAGGGTTCAGTGTCCCTTGTTGTGTATACCTGCTTTTTTTAAAAATAAATCTTCAACCCCAGATTTCTCAGTGCTTTAAATCAGCATAGCAAAGAAGTAGGATCACTTCAGAAAATAAGTAACGTGAGGCTCTTTCTCCCTCACTGCAAGAACTTAAACCAAATTCTTATTTCTGCTAAATGACAAAAAGCATGTGTATAGGTTGAGAGAGAGAAAATACTACCAGATAGTTGTTCTGCTTTCTTTAAAGGAGTGAAAATAATCTCCACCTTCTTTTTCTTGCCCCCCTGCCTCCTTGCCCAAAAGGAAAACATTTGAAATTGATTCAGTTCTTAAATAGAACTTTCCAACGGAAACTAGGATTACAAACATAGATATTCAGTATTTTACCCCTAGGATTTATTCAAAATAATCCAGGCCTCTACATTGGCGCTAAAAATACATTTTCCAGTTCTCACTGTTGGCCAAAGCAGGGGTTAAAAGCAGCATTCTGGCTTTAATTTCCAGGACATAAAAGTAACACTGTTAAAACAATCTGCATAAGGCACCAGCTCATTCCCCTCCGCGCATCCCCAAGCCCTGCTTGGTTTAGCTCAGGTCTGCAGAAGCCAGCTGGCGAGGAGGAGCGGTGCTGTTCTGCAGGGCACTGCCTCGCTTTTCCCATGAGCAGTGTTGTTGCCCAGGAGGATTCGTGGCTGTTTCAGGTGGTGAAGTGACCATGACAGTAGGGTATGTTTCTAGATAGTGTCTCTGTAAAGTTGTATCCCCTGGAGTTTGATGGGGGTCTGGCCATTGGATTCAACGTTGACTTGGAAGCTGTGGCATCCAGCAGGGTGCAGGGTTCACTGCTGACCCTGCTGCTGGCAGTTCGTATGCCAGGGGCCTTCATATCACCTGCTGATACTGCTTGCAGGATAGAAGAAGTTTAACAGAGGACAGCAGTTTTGTTTGGACTCAGACAGGGTCAGGTACCACCTACGCAGGGACAACTTTGAGACTGCTTTTTCAGTTTAATCCGACACTCAATGAAGTTGCATGTACTTCAGACCTCCTCGATGCCAGGCTTAGAAGTGGTGATTTTAATCTCCTGGTCCCCATTTTGCTCTGGTCTGGATATTCCTAGACTTTTGTACAACTAGTGCTAGTTTTCCTGCCCTCCACCATTTCTCTCATTCCCTGCAAAGTGGATAAGTGAGCGTTTGGAATATATAGAAGGCTGACTATGTATATGGGCTTTCTGGGCAGTTAGGGTAGGGAGATCACCATACTGGGAGTTTAGCACTGAGTATAATGGCAGTTTTATGTGAAAGCTTTTAAAGAAGAGTTTGAAGCCAATATAGGAGAAAAGGAGAAAGAAAGGAGGAAAAGAAAAAAACACACTGGCTTTAAGTTGAGGTGGTTCAAATGCAGGAGTAATGCTTTGGTGCAACCTCTGTGTGTGCATGTGTGTTTTAACACAAAGTGTTCATGGAAGATCTCCCTGGTGCTGCGCCTATAGATCAGCAATGCGGTCTTTTACAGACCACATTAATAACCCAGTTTGAATACATTAAGGATGATTTGTGTAGTGCAAAAGGTCCCTCACTGAATAGAGACCTTCCCTGTCATTCTGCCATGAAGACCAAATGTGTTATCTCAGCTGGCTTCTCTGACATTAGAAAAGCTTTACACACTGAGTTTAAATGAAATCTATATTTTAACCAACATTATATGTTGCATGGACTGAAAAAAGCATCCAATATGATAGATCATTTCGGTCTTCAGTCAGCATCAGACAGATTAAATTCAGCTATGACAGAAATTTGTAATGATTTGTGTTCTGATTTGCCATACACCAAATAATTTTAAACTCAGTGAGAGGTGATGCCAGGCTCTAAGTTTTTTTTTCTGAAGGGATGATACATTTCCAGTATGATTTCAATAAGTCACATTCACTGTTTATGCAAAGAGGTGGTTGTTTGGGTGGTTATTTTTTCTTGTAGAGGTCTGGTTCTGATTGTTACCCTGCTGCAAACATGAAGTCACGTCAGTGTTGTGAGCAAAGGGCTGGTTCTGCTCTTAGCAACAGACTCAAGGTAACTAGTCAGTTGATCAGAAGAAGCATTAGAAGCATTAGAAACTCCCAGACAGTTTCATAATTTCATCTGTATGATAAATTAGTGTCTCTGAAGTAATGTTTTGGAGTTTCTCTAATGGTGTTCTCTGCATAACTGGTGCAGAACAAAGAGTCTGATTGCAGGATACTGGCTTCTGTCTTTCTTCTGCGTGCTTGTATGGTGGTAAGGCAGGGAAAAGTAGGAGTCACTCCACAGTGCTGTAGGATTGAGATTGCGACGGTGAAGATCTGAGACCAATGGAGAGGGTGAAAGTCCGTTAAGGTGTGTTGAAAAGGACTTTTTGGAAAGCTCAGCCTTGGTCTGATTCTGCTCCAGATGAAGCTACTGCCGAGCGCTTTGATAGACTCAGTTTTCTTTCTCCTCTTGCCAAATGGGTCAAATTAATATAGAGGATATAGATAGCAATCCATTCTCCCAACTGAAAGGTGTTTTTGTCAACCAGCATCAAGCAATAGCCTATAAATAGGTAATCTTAGCCTCTTTATTTATATGAAGCTTGCTTGTATGGTGACATCATGTCCATACCAGCTCCCGAGCAGGTGTATGTACACGTGTAAAGTTCTGGTTTCACACAGAAGTCACCTTGGCTTTGTGGCTTCATATTTCTTCCCATTTCAACAAACACCTATAAGTTATAGGCCTGCTCAAAATACCCCATTTATAGCTCTGAAATGGATGAAATAGAAATATTTTAGGTGCTTGGGCTGGTGCATTCAAGACTAGCTGGATACTTCGAAGCTGTGTTCAGCACTGCAACACAGGAAGTTTTCAGAGATGCCATGCTCCCACTACATCAGTATAGGCTCATGGAAACAGCAAGCACTTGCCACCTCTAAAATATGGCTATTTAAGCACCTGACTGTAGACATTTAATTCTGAAAATGGGTGCTTTGGTCTTTTAGGTGCTTTCTCCTATATATAGCTAGCCCAAACCAGAATACCACAAGTTTTTATTGCCCCTGACATTTTAGAAAATACTATCCCTGTTGTGTTTGTAACACTGTGCCCTTTCTTCACACATCAGAAGCTCTTGAATAGATCTGCACACTACAAATAATCGTTATAGAAATCTTCCTTCTCATTTCAGACCTCTTAAAAAAAGCTCTGTGTAACTTAATTCATCCATTTTTGAAAGGTGCAAGTGTAAATTAAAAACTAGGCTGGATTGTCATGTGAGACTGCTTTTTTTTTTCCTACTCCCTCTCATGCTGAGATGAATGTAAGGGAGCGTATTTCAGTCTCATGCAGTTTTTTTACCTCTGTGCATTTCTGTACCATAGCTGTCTCCAATTTGTATGTTTGAAGTTTTCTTACGTTTTACTGAGGTATTAAATCACATATTCAAGAGCAGAATTTTCCTGGAAAAACAAAGGGGCTGCCAGTTTGGTGCCTATTGAGTAGAGCTCTGAATAATTAGGAAACATCAGCTCCTGTTTTGTCATTGATTTCTTCTTTAATTTGGAGAGCAATGCCATTCAATGTGATCACGCATTAGTTTTCTCCCATGGAGTGACAGCTGACAGTCTCATTTCTCTGTGCTCTGTTTCAGGTGAGAAGCCATACAAGTGCACATGGGAAGGCTGCGACTGGAGATTCGCTCGCTCGGATGAATTAACGCGCCACTACAGGAAGCACACAGGGGCAAAGCCCTTCCAGTGCGCTGTCTGCAATCGCAGCTTCTCTCGCTCGGATCACCTGGCTCTCCACATGAAGAGGCATCAGAACTAAAGGCTGGACTTGTCGTTGAGGCTGTTTTGTATCTATGCAATTTCCTATTGACTCTCGACATACAACTGAAATGAGTTTAATTTTGGAGTATGGGTTATCCGTTTAAAAGAAATCTCAAAAGAAACTGGAAATGTATATTTTGTATATTTATGCAGAAAAAGGGAAGACACTGTATCACAATACCAGAGTGTTTGGTTGTTTGTTTGCTCTCATGATGTATATGGCTTTAGTCAGCAGGTTTCATCTCTTTACAAGTATTATGTCTTGACACATTGCAGCTTTATACATTTTTTTTTTCTCTTGTGGTGTTTTGACCAAAGCACTGTCATTGTGACAATGTTTAGTAAATGAATTAATGAGAGGCTGCAGATGAATGAACTCAGTGGAAAAGCCATGAATTGTAATCTGTCAGGTTTTTACTGGACATATTTAGTACTTGTGGGGGTTTTTTAAATGTTAAGTCGTTCTGTGGAGATAAAGTACATAGAAAACTTCATAAACAGCCATAGAACAAAATATTTTGTTCTGTATGTTGCATGTTTGCTATGACAAAGATTTTGTAAATATGCAAATCAGCTTTTTAGGTTTAATACAAAAGTTTTCTAAAAATCATCTGAAAAAAGCAGTTGTTTTACATTTGATAACACGGCACATTTACAAAAGAAAGTTATTTAAATACCTCTCAAAACAGTACCAACTTAGCTTCATTTTTCTTAAGAGAAATGAGCTAAGCATTCATATGTTTTGTACCTGTTAACTCAAATGGTGTGCACTGAATATTCAAAGCAGGATTTTGTTTTCTAATTGCTTAAAAGGGCAAAACATGTAGAATGAACTGTAAAGTCAATATTGGAAGCTTAAATAACAGGGATGGTTACAGTGAACACAGAATGTTAAACCTCTTACTATAAGCTAAACTTAGTATCACTTTAAAAGAAGGATTTAGAATGCAATTTTCATATACAGACATGTTAAACTGGTTCATCACCAGTATGATCTAGTTTCATGTGGATATTGCATGTAATTTACTAGAAGGTAAAGGATACAGTAATTTTGTTTAAAATTACAGTGCAGTTTAGTTAATCCACGGTTCAGATTGACACACATAGGGGAAAATTTACTGCTGACAAAAGTAGCTGAAACTCCACTGAAGTCAATGAAGTGGTGCCCTTTTATGCTAACAGTGACTTTGATCCACCATGTTCAGCCTTGAAATAGTAGAGGAAGGGCCAAAGATGAGGTTAGACCATGTAGGATTTGGCCAGATGACAGGAGGAAACCAAACAAACCTAATAAGTGTCTGGACTTCACAAGCCGTAATATTAAGCTGTCAACCAAAGGCTAGAATAGACAATCAAAATACCAAAAAAGGGTCTTGCAGGAAAACCTAGCTTTGTTAAAACTGTTGTTTGTCTTTATTTATTTGTGGTATATGATAGACTCTTTTTTTTAAGACACTTTTACATATACTTGATAAATTATAGTTTTGTTTGTTATAGTTAGAAATGTTGCTCTTAATGTAAATAGTTGACAAACGATGTAAATAATTTTGTAAGGCTTCAAATGTTTATACGTGGAAACACATGCATAAATTGGTTGCTGTTTTGCTTCTTTTGCCTCCCCCCTACCTTATTTTTGTATTGTGGTATTTCCTATGCAAATGATGGGGCAAACAGCTGTATAGTTGTAGAATGTTTTGAGAGAGAATGAAATGGTTTATATATAAAGACCTTTTTTTTTTTTTTTTTTGCAAAATAAAACAAAGTGCCTAATGTGTGTGTGTGTGCGCATGTGTGTGCTCTCTGTAGCTCCTGACAGTGAAAGTTCTGTGGTTTTGCACTGGGAGCTGGAAATTGTAGCAATATCAAGCTCAGTATGTCTGTTCCTCATAGCAAGGATTGTTTCTGTGGAAAGTACCTGGCACTTCTGCACCCTACCTTGATGAAAATAATAAATGTGAAGGGATAAGGGATGGTGCTTTTCGGCCATCATAACTTTAGAGGAAGTGTACAGTAGCCTGAAAATGGTTGCAGTTGTCCATCCACAGTAGCGTGAATGTAAATAAAAAGTGCATAGAATATCGAAATTCTCTCCTGCTTTCAAAATGGATAAAACCTATTCACACTCATCTACAGCTTTGTCTAAAAGCATTTTTTCCCCAAAAAGGTCCTTTCATGCCTTAAGAAAGACAGGAAGATCTCGTAATGGCGCTGTGCGATGCCCGCCACAGCAGTCTCCTTTTCAGTATTTTTCCCTCGGGAGATGGAAGTAAGGTTCAATTTTCAAGTGGAGGTGTGTGTTCAGATTGGGGGGGTTACCGCTGTCTTCTCATCCTCTGAGCTTAAAGAAGAGAGGCACACTGAGCTTTTTCAAATATATTTATCTTAAACCAAATAAAAGGGTCAGTTTAAGTATCATTTACTACCAAATTATAGTAACCTAATTAAATCAACTATCAATTTATTCAAAATTCAGTTGTTGTCTTGTAAGCTCTGGCTCCTAAATCCTTCCTTGAATTTCTCTGTTCTTTCCTTACAAACTAACTGATTTTTCTTTAATTGATTTTTCTTCCTTAATTAGCCTCTCCCACATGTCAGCTAATCCTTCCTCCTTTTAAAGAATACCTAGGATACCATTAACAGAGTCAGTGAAGACCCGGTTAATTACCAAGAAAATCTGCCTGCATCTCACCTAACCCTGCACAACCGCAAACATAAAAGCGGTGTTTTAGAGAACAAGGAGAGAGAACTCCCAGTAGCACTGCTGTGGCATTGCCCTGTTCTGATCCAGCCATTAGAAAAATGCTCGAGTTTCTTTGAAGCATTTCTGCTCAGAGAGGAAGCTGGCAATGAACTGGGCAACCACTCATGTGCTGTCACTGCAAAAGAGAGCTACCAGACCTTATTTTGCTGAGTGCAGGGTGAAGTGAGTAACAGCGGCAGCATGGGGTGTTCAGAGCCACAAGCCTCCCTGTTTAGCTCAGCCTGCTGATCTGGGGTTGGACCAGTGGTGGGTTTGGTAGCTCTTTCTAATCTTTCCCCGTGAATCTTCTCTCCTCCTGTGCTTTGTTTCAAGTCTGTAGATGAAGGAAGTGCTCACTTCTGCATTTCCCATGCCTTTTCACAATGAAAGCTCGCTGATTGCATGGTTTCAGCCTCTAACATTGCTTCAGACTTGTTTTAGATCTTTCTATTGCTCAGCTACCTGGTTGCATAAACCAGCTTAATGGCTTCATATTAATCTTGAATGAAAGGCCATAATTAGGCCCATCTACTTCAGCAGGATTTAACCTAATGCAAACAGAGACAGGCGCAGCAGACCCGTGCACCAGAATACATTACAAAACCAGAGGTAGAGGAGCTTTCTTCACTAGCAAGTGCTACATGGCTGATCTCAAAACCCGCAAGAAAAAGTAGTGTCACCATCGCCCCCACTCAGTTCACTTAAAGCAGTTGGTGCAGAGTCCCCCAAGGTACTGAAGGCACCCTCATATTCAACTCTCCAGTTATCCTTCAGCACCTGAATTATCATTCCACATGAAGAGGGAAACTCCAGTTGGCCAACTGGCTTTTCTGGTGGTCACGTGAACACCTAGTCATCCTCTTGACTTGGTGCCGAGTTCCTTCCTGTGGTTTTCACTGTGAATTTAGGACCTGATCCTCCACTGAAATGCCTCTATGGCCACCTGGGAACTTTGTGCCCTCCATTACATGCGATCCTTGCACAGATCCTTGTTTTAATGTGATCGGTACGGTGCCATGAACCTCTGCCATGCTCTACAACTACAGTAGTGGTGTTGCTGTTGACCTTCATGAAAGAGAGTCCAGCTCAACAACTGACTATTAGCTAAAAGAATGTGGTGAATTACTCATGTGCTGAATAATGCATCCTGGCACTTCGAGTGTATTAGGACAGAGGGAATTTATTGGCCACTGTAAGTAGCAGAAGCAGCCTGACGGGTATGCTTTTAATAAAGCAACTCACATACTTTGCTTGTGTATACTTATTCCTCTTCTCCTCCACTACTAGCCATTAGGCTGTTGTTGTCATCTACTGTGTTTCTAGCACCCTCACCAATGCTGCCTGTTTGGAATTTGGGATTTAAGCAGACCCAGGCCACTGGAGAAGGCTATGGCAGAGTCCGGTCCATCTACAGCGAGGAAAGGGCCATCTATGGCAAATGAAGAGTGCTGTGGTTCCTGAGATTTCTTTGATGTTGTTATTGTGCTTTTTAAAAATAGTTATTGTTTATATATAAATATGTATGCAAATATATGGGCGCATGTGTGTGCGTGTGCATGTTCATTTACATATTCAGTTTAATTTTGAATGCTGGGAAATATTTGCTTTTGACGACATATCACGGCAACAAACTTCACAGGTTATCTGAGGAGCAGTCAGGGAAAGAGAAAATCGGTGCTCCTGTGTTTCCACACCAAATTTCCAAACAATTGGGGAAATTTAAAGGTCTGCTTTTTCTGCTATGTGTACTGTACTGTGGAATAAATGCAACAATGAATTTGTGTTTCCTAAGAGTAGGTTATTTCTTTATTTTGAAGTCTCCTAAGTGAGGGAGAGAGAGAAAGAGCTGGGGGAAGGGCAGTTATACTGCAGGAACAAAGTGAATTCATACTGAAAAAGAGTATCTCTTCAGTTAGGCAAGTCAAAAACATGAGTTATTTCTGCAAGAGAACCTGTGAGGGTGGCAGCAGACAGCATCCTGAGATGAGGTCTCAGGTAATAGCTTGTCAAAGGAGGCTTTCTTAGCTCTGCTTTTCCTTCCCCTTCTCTGCCCATGAGTCTCAGGCTTAATTTGTATTTCCTGTTGCTCCAACAGTTCCATCTGCTGCTGTTTCTCCTTCCCACCCTATGAGCGAACCACAGGTGATAGGCTTGGGCTAGTGCTGCCCCTGCCTCTACTTCTACCTGCATGTGCCCCACTGTTGGGCTGCTCCTGGCTGGGGCACACATCTCACCCAACTCAGGTTTTAATTCGTGGCATAAAGAATGTGTGGCTTGTTTACGTTCTGCCAGTCTCCCTGTGTTGTACTGTATAACTGGGGCAAACTTTCTTTTATTTTCTCATGTCCAGTCAATATGTAGGACATACTATTACTCTGCATATAACAACTTTTGCCTCCAGCATGATCTTTTTTCCGCACAGGGACTGGGAAGCTGATTAGAGCCTTCTCCCTCCCATGGGACTGAGCAAAGGTGTGTGTTGCCAAGGAGCATTCTTGCACTTCTGAGGCAGCAGCTCAGAAATGTTTAGCTGTTCAGCATAACTTTTATAACATAACATAACATAACATAACATAACATAACATAACATAACATAACATAACATAACATAACATAACATAACATAACATAACATAAACATAACATAACATAACATAACATAAAAACTGTTCAGCATAGAGTCATGGGGCTTCCAACCTTGGTTTTTGTGCTAACCTCCCCATTTTCCTGCCTCACTCTTTTTTACTGTAATAGAGTCAGTTCAACAGCTTCGGCTACAGGAAGCTTTAGGAAAATGTGGTTTGCCTCTTTCTCAAGAACTGAGGAGTCACATTGGCTGATTTACCATCTCTTCTGCCTGGGAAATCAAAGTCTGAAGTCTCTTCTAAATAATATCCCCAAAGGCCATTTCTCTTCCCAGCCTCGGTTGTTGTTTCTGTTTGTACTTGTTTTGTTTAGCTGGCTATTGTTATTGTGGTTTGTCATTATTTCCAACCCATTGGGGTGGATCACTAGACCAGAAAAAGGATGTAGGCACCCTCAGAGGGACCACAGTTGCAGTATCCCAGGTTAGTACTCGCGCTGTGAGGTTGTGGACTCATGGCTCTCTTTTTCCAGCCTCACAAAACCTACACTCTCGGCTGCTTGCTGACCTGGCCTTAAGGAGGATGAAAGTGAATAACAGTGAGCCCTCTGTGCCTCTGAATAGCCCATGGCCTAGTGGGTCTCCTGAGAAGTCAGGGACATTGGCTTATGGCTTTCTCAGGCCCAAGAGGAGCAGGTACCTCATCTCCTAGCCAGTGGAGAATTGTCCCACTTCATAGGTTAGTCTATCAAAGAGGGACGCCATCACCAAATTCATACAAGCTGATGGTTTTGCAAAGAAAAGCAGCGGCGGCCTGCGAGAAGCTTCATCCTGTGCAGAAAGTGAGCCAGAAAGTGAGGCAGAAGAATGCCTTTGACATTAAGACCCCCAGAGGATTTAGGCAGGGCAATACTTAATTTCTGGATCCTGAGCAGGGATGAGCATGACCTGAGTTCCTAACAGCATGAAGCCTGAGCCTCTTCTGCATATCTACACAAGCACAACTCTAGGACTCTAAGGAATTTTAGACTCATAAATTTATCAGCATACAGAGTTTATCCTGTAGGGTTAAACATTAGCAGTATGAAGGTGTTCGGGGTTATATGCTTACATTACACCCCACCTTAGGTGCTAAATCTGTTTTAGATGGATCAGGCCTCATGTTTTGCTTCAGTGAGAAGCAGCAATGTGCAGCTTCAGTAACTCACATGACTGGAGAAGGCTTGAAAAATCTGTTTCTGCAGGCGCCCTTGGCACCAGAGCCAAACTTGATGTCTGAGGCTGTAGAAGCAGCCTTCTTCCTTGGTAGCGATGATGCAGATCTGCCATCAGGTGAACACTGTCACCACCTTGTAGGGGACTCTGGCCACTTCAGGCTGGACTGGGAATCTCCACCACTGATTGAAATGGTAATTCAAAAAACTGCTCTATGTAAGTATG